TAAAAGTGTTTGGGTGAGTGACTGGTTGTGCTGGTTTAGACTCCATTAAAACCTGGATGGCTGGGAGCTTTCTTCAGCTGAATTAAGATGAGAATGAGATCCTCATCTGTGCCCCAGACAAGCTGGTTCCCAAAGTCAGAGACTCTCTTGGTCAGCTTGCTTCTCACACCAAACCTTCTGTCAGGGATCTTAGCGTGACCTTTGACCCAGCTCTCACCCTGGATTCTCATGTCAGTTCTCTTGTTTGCTCTTCCTTCTTCCATCTCAGGAACATTGCTAAGCTGAGTCCCATTCTGTCCCGCTCTGAACTTGAGACTCTTCTCCACACCTTCATCTCCTCACACTTAGACTACTGCAACTCTCTTTTCACGTGTCTGAGCAAAACCTCCCTGAACCGTCTACAGGTGGTTCAGAATGCCTGTGCTCGGCTTCTGACCAAGTCCTCCAAACACACCCACATCACCCCGCTTCTCCTCCAGCTTCACTGGCTGCCAGTCAACTTCTGGGTTCATTTCAAGATCCTGGTTCTGGTCTATAGGGCCTTACATGGACAAGCACCATCTTACATTGGTGATCTTCTTAGTCCCTACACCCCCAGCAGGTCCCTGAGGTCCAGTGACCAAAGCCTACTGGTTGTGCAGCGCACCAGGCTGAAGGTCAAAGGTGACAGATCATTTGCTGCTGTGGCCCCCAGACTCTTGAACTCTCTCCCCTTGAGCCTGAGATCAGTGGTCTCCTTCAAAAAGCAGCTAAAGACTCACTTGTTCAAGCTGGCTTTTGTATGATCTTCTTCACCACTCTCTCTTTATTCCCCACCTATTCCACCTTCCTCAGGATCCACTGATTTCCCTCTTATCTATTCACTCTCTCTCTTTCTTTACATTTTTTCTTTTAAATCCCAATTGCCTATTTTTGCTCATTTTAACTATATTTTTAAACATTTTCTAAATGCTTTTTTATATTTTTACATTTCCTTTTTTGTTTTTGTTTTTGTGAAGCACCTCGTGATTTTTATCTTGAGAGACGCTATAGAAATGATATTTTCTTCTTCTTCTTCTTCTTCTTCTAAAGTGTTTTGGGGGGTTCTACAACCCTAGAAGGCGCTATTCAACATTTTTGTGTCATTTGTCATTCTTCTCAAATCTGTTCAAAACATCAACATGAAAAGTCATAAAATTGGACCCAAGTGCACGGTGGTTTACCAGGTAGAAACAACAATTATGCTTTTCTACGTTTTAATCGTCACACAAACACACACGCACACACACAAAATTTGTGTGATGCAGTTCAGCAATTTCAATGGATATTTCCAAAGATTAATGGTAAAACCTACACATTGTTTACAGTTGAGTCTGTTAGCCCACACTGCCCCCTAGTGACAGTCAAGCACATGGGTTTGCTCTACAAACTTATTTCTAAAGCTTTGTTGCATTGGGTTCATGTTCTTTATTCAGGCAACAAAGAACAAACTACATCAGGGATCTAATTAACAATGATTTATGTGGCCTTTGATTCCAGTTTAAGAATAGTAGGATTTTGGCCCGACTGCACAGGCTATTGAGATTCAAGATTCAAGATATTTTTCTTGTCATTGCACAAGTGTTCAAAGAAATTGACTTTGCACTCATTAGATACAGCACACATAAGGAGGTAGTAAAATATGAGTAAAATAAAATAACAAGGCTAAAATAGAAGTCACACTGTCATGGTCTGCGTCTGTGTCTTCCCTCATGTGTTCTCCTTCCTCTAGGTTCCCATTTTGGGTCTCATAAGCGCCCTCATGTGTCCTTTGTCTGCGTCTCATTGATGTGTCTTCTCTTGTAGCTCCAGCCTTTTTGTCCCCAGCTCGGTGTGTGTGTGTGTGTGTGTGTGTGTGTGTGTGTGTGTGTGTGTGTGTGTGTGTGTGTGTGTGTGTGTGTGTGTGTGTGTGTGTGTGTGTGTGTGTGTGTGTGTGTGTGTCCTTCCCAGTCAGGTCTGGTGTCCTGCTCTGCTCCTCTCCTCATTAGTGCTTTCACCTGTGCCAGTTCCCCACACACCTGCTCCTCGTCTCCTATCACTCCAGCCCGAGTGTATAAAGCCTCTCCTTGTCTCATTGTTCTTGTCGGTCCATTGTTGCTGTCAGTGTGACTTATTCTGTCAGTCCTGCTCGTTCCTTTAGTGTTTTTGGATCTCCTGATCATCCCCTGCATTTTTGGACTTTGGCTTCCTGACCCTTTTGGTTTTAATGTTCGTTTTGGGTTCATCCTAAAATAAAAGGATTTTTCTTTATCTACTCCTGCCTCGTGTCATCCTGGGTATCTGCATTTTGGGTCCGAAACATCCTCCATAACGTGACACACACACACACACACACTCTCTCACACACACAGCCAGGTGCAAAAATGTTAAAGTATAATATAAACAAGTAATAAGACAAGTCTAAACTATAAACTGACATATAAAGTGAACATAAAATAAATGTAAACTGTCACATGCTGAGGTGTCAGGGTTAACTAGCGTGAAGGTGTTGTAGTGCACTAATTGTCCTTATTGACCTCCTAGCAGCAACGTTAAGTCCAGTGATGACTCTTGCATAAAAGCTGTTTAACAGCCTGGTGGTGTGTGTTTTTATTGCCCCGTATCGTTTATCAGATGGAAGAAGTCTGAAGAGATGGTTAGCAGTGTGGGTTGAGTCCTTAAGGATGTTTGTGGCTTTATGAAGGCAGCGAGTGGTGAAGATGTCAACCAGGGCAGGCAGATGTGTGTTTGTTATTTTCTGTGCAGTTGTGATTACTCTCTGCATGGCCTTGCTCTTAGCTGCAGAGCTGGTCAGAACTCTCTATGGAGCAGTGATAAAATCCCACCAGCAATTTTTGTGGCAGATAGAATCAGATGCACTTAAAAATGTTTTATGTTATGTTTTACCAATATGTGAGCTTAGCAACAATGAAGATACGTTAAAGTATTTGAGATTCATCAATTAAAATATAAAATATTTTCCGTTAACAGTTTGATTTGTTAATTTCCTGCTAAATGGAATTGCAACTCTTCCTGACTTTTATTACAACTGATCATAAAACCTGACTAAATGCAAACATTACTGAAAAAAGAGCGACTCAGACCCTGTTCCTGATTAATTAGACCAAAAAACTAGAAAACAATCAATCCACTAATTCCTGGAAATTTGATGCTTTGTTTTAATTTAAGGCAGTTAAGACCCATTTTGTCTTGTATCTACAAAGACTTAAAGATCATTTTCTATTTAAAAAAATAAAGAAGTCTTGATTATAGTTAAAAAATTCACAATAAAATAATTTGTGGTGAAAATGGTTTGATTACTGCTGAACTAATGTATATATTGGTATGCCAGAAAATTTACTATTTTGTGGTTAGCTATTTAAATGACTCTGAATGTCTAGAAAACAGCAGAAACATAATGCAGGTTATTTATTATTTAAACTTTGTTAAAACATCCTAATTTGATTCACTCAGTCATGAGCCAGACTTTATTAGTAAGGTATTTTCCTTTGTTATAAGAACTTTGTGTGCTCCAAGAACAACATTGAGATAATGTAAAGTCTTGTTCATATATTCAAATACGGTATGTGCACTTTTGCTTTTACAACAATTTGCCTCAAATATGTTGAATGTTTATTTTGGAGCGCCGTGCCACAGAAAACTGCATAAAGAAGGTGGCAAATAAAAAAGCTATTCCCTTAAGAAAACATTTTAGTAAAAAATAAGCTTTAATTGCAACAGATTAAGACTGTTTTCTGCTAAAGATGTTTTCAATAGCAGGCGTTAGTTTTTTTTATTGCTAAAACTCAAAAAGCAAAAATGAGGCACAATTTTCACAACCTCTACTTCTGTTCCCAATTACTTGACTCAGTTTATCACTACTTAAGATTTCCTTATCATATTAGAACTCTGACTTTCGTCCTTTACAGTCTGATGTCAATTTCACATTACCTTGCTGTCAAAACACAGCACACAATTTTCAGGTTTACACACACTTCTCACATAAATTCTCAAAGCTTCAATCAACAAAACACAAATATTCAAATCTCTAAACTTTCGGGTCTGGCGAGCAATTTGCAGTCAAGGACTGCAGCATAAAAGTAAGTTTCCACAAGGCTACCCAGGTGTATGAGTGGTTTCAGGACCACCCACGGTTTTCCATTTTATACCTTCCACCTTATTCCCCCTTCCTCAATCCCACTGAGGAGTTTTTCTCAGCCTGGAGGTGGAAGGTGTACGAAAGGAATCCACAGAGCCAGGTCCCCCTGCTTCAAGCCATGGAGGAGGCTTGTAGAGATGTGGCCTTAGAGGCCTCTCAGGGCTTCATGAGGCACTCGAGGCGGTACTTCCAACGCTGTTTGGACCAGGAGGACATCGCCTGTGATATTGATGAGGCCCTCTGGCCAGAGACCACATGCGTGATGCCCCATGATTATGCTTGAAGGGGGGGGGGGGGGGGGGGGGGGGGTGTCACAGTAAAACTAAAATGTTTTGTCTCAAAATTTGTGTGATGTTTGTTTGTCTGAGAGAAAAGTGGGCACTGTCGTACATTTCAGTGTGTAATTCATTGTGTTCCCTTTCGACAATTGTGTTTTCAGTTTTGCTCTTCAGTGTTCTTTCCATGCTTGGTAGTGTTCACCCAAAGGCTACTTGTGTTTAAGCAATGAATGGTATGTGTGTGTCGTGTGAAAATGTGGCTGTGTTTACCAAATGAAAACATGTGTTCCATTTTGGGAACATGTTACGATATGTGATGGCAGGGTTTTGTTGCAAAGGGAAGCCACGGTTTAGGAATTTGTGGGTGATGTTTGGGGTTTTGTGTGTGCAGTTTGGAAAGAAACGTAGTTTTGAAAAACACGTTTTAGCAATCGAAAAAAACTAACAAAATCCAGGCAATGTGATTAAGCTTTTGTCAGTTAAAATATAAACTTTCCTCAGTCTGTGTTGTTTTCTGGGACCACTTACCAAAGAAAAGCATAAAGAAACCTCCACTGGAGGCTCTATTAGAAAACCTTATCATTTTAATAAATCGTGATCTTAGAAAGTCAGTGGAGAACACACAGTGGTAATTCTTGTGAAACAACAAGCAGACAGCGATATTGTCCTGGTTTCAGTCAAAACAACTTTTAAACACAACAATTAAAGATTATAAACGCATCAGATAGAAAAGCTTTAAACACTGTTACAGTTAATGGTGGTAGCAACATTAATTCACATTCTAGATCAAACATCCTGCCACCCTTCTGTGATGACCCACAAATCTACAGTTCGGTCACGCGTTGTTCTATTTTAGCTTCGTCTTTATGATTTTATACTCGGCTTATATGAACTTTCAGACTAAAGTTCTAAACCGTGATCAAAAATCTGTGTGTTCATAATCACTTCTTGTTGGTTTCATTTTCACTCGGAGGGTTTTTAACTGTTGCCTTTTTCATTGCCTTCTCTTTTTTACCCTCATCCTTCTTTGATGGCGCCACTTTCCCCTGGTCGTCCTCTCCAGTTTCTGACTTGCCGGTAAGTTTCTTCAGCTTGTGTTTGCCTTTCATGGGAGTTGAAAAGGTGAGAGAAGTTTTGATGAAGTCCAGGGGGAAGATGCCCACGTCTCCGTCAAAGCGGTTTTTGGTAACCTGCAGGGATCTGCGGCCGGGGCATGTCACCACCTTCTTCTCCTGCAGAATGAGGACGTTGTCCGCCTCTTGGCTGGCCTGGAAAAGGGTTAGAGGTCAGGATCATCGACATACATATAGGATGAAGGAGTTCAATACATCATGTCTTTGCTTTGTGAGTTAAATCACAATAAAACTAACTTAAGCTAGGTCCAATTCTATTCTTGTTTGACTAAACTGAAACTTTTCCCTTTGAGGAACATGATGTTTAAAATGCAGAACGTTCTTGTCTGACCTTTGCAGAACCAAAAATGGATGCTGTTTGCAGTTCTCGATCATCCTCCTCTTTCCTCGGGTGAATGATCAGAGTTATGTGGCAGCTGCTGTTGGTGGCAAACTTCCTGAACGCTCCGATTATGAGATCCTGGACAGCAAACCTGGATTGAATGTGTAAATTATTTAATGTTTTATTTCAAATAATAAAAACAGCAGCTGCAAACCAGACAGACATTCAAAAAGTATCAAATTTTATAAACACCAAAAGGAGGATGATTGCAAGAATGTTATAACTTGTGCCTGAAGAGACACAAACTAAAGCATGTTAGGAAAAAAATTCCTGCCTTTATGACATGTGTTGCAAGTCTGTGCAGGAAACTTTCACAGCAAACACAAAACAACCCCAAAACACCCATTTCTAAAATAAAACTTACAACATAAAATGTAAAAATGCACGGGTTTTGAACGGTGAAACTCTTATTTTAGGGAAAAGCCAATAGCATTTACGTATCTATTGTTTGTGATTACATCTTCTAAAACACCAACATGGTCTTTTCTGTGCATTTAGCAGACACTTTTTTTCTAAAGCAACTTACAAACAAGAAGTAATGCTGAAACAACTTAGTCCAGTTAGATTTCTGCTTTCAAGCTAAAACATCCATCTTTGCTTATTTGTTGTAAGTTTGTGATGTTTGGTCATGATTTATTATGTAAATTTTGTTATTGTTTCAACAAAACAAAAATACAATCATAAAATTTCAACTGCAAATAAAACATAGATAAAAAATGAATTTCTAAAGGATAATATTGAAGTTTAAATCACTGTAAATAGACTGCTTGGTAGGGATGCATAATATCGGCATCAATATCGTTATCAGCCGATGTTAGTCATTTTTTAACATATCAGTATCAGTCCAATAAATAAAACTGGGCCAGTATTAACAACCGATACTTTTTCCATCTTGTTTCCATTTGTTTACCTGTTTCAGAGGGCGAGGGGTGTGTGTGTGTATTTGTTTAGTCATGTGACAGTGATTGTAATCATCTCAGAAGTGTAAGTGTGTGTGTGTTGTGTGTGAACATAATAATGCAAATTCAGCTTTAATAAGTTTAATTCTATACAAAATCTGCTGAATTTAGAAGTATTAATGTCAGTATATCGGTATTGGCAAATATCGGTTATCGGCCATAACAGTGATATTAATATCGGATATCGGTATCGGCCCATAAATTTCATATCGGTGCATAACTACTGCTTCGACCAAAAAAAAAGTTGCCACCAAAATAAAAAAGGTCACAGTAATATTTTGTTGGACCTCCTTTAGCTTTTATTATGACACACATTCTCCATGGCATCCTCTCCCTTCTGGACCCCCAGCACTTTCAGACATACAGAAAAAATTTCCCGACAGCAGCCTTCTTCAGCTTAACACAGAGCCACGGACCACTGTTTGATCTTCCCCGACTTAAAACAGAACTGACTAATGTATGCCACAGCTAATTTTAAAGGGAAAAGTCCTGCTGATCTACACGATTTTCTTCTTAGCAAAGACCCGAGTGAGAGTATGGGACAACTTTACGCACTGGCCTGTTTGGCTGTGACTATCCCGGTGCCCACTGCCTCTGTTGAGCGCTCATTCTCAGCATTAAAGCACGTTAAAACGTACGCCAGAAACACGACCGGACAGACACGACTTTCAGCGTTAGCCTCCATGTCCATAGAAAAGCCTCTACTCGTGGATCTGAAGCGCACAGATAAACTGTATGACAGAGCCACTGAGGTTTTCCTGAGGAAAGAAAGAAGGATGGATTTTATTTTCAAATGAGCAGGAGAGGAGGAGACCCATGTTGGTGAGTAGTATTTATTAGTATTTTTTAATGTTTTGTCATTTTATTTAGTTAATAATCAATAAATGGTAACGAAATAAAATGGCCAAATGAAATTATTCTGTTTCTATGCAATATATATTATGGATAACGTGGTACGCGCAGCTGCGCCAACATGTTCAATTGTTTCGCGGTGCCATTTTCTCCAAAACAAATGCAAATAATGTGTTTGCTTTACTTATTTATTGTACTGTCTCATCTCTTAAACCCATCTTTCATTTTTGAGATTTGACAGTATCCGGGGTCTTAGTTTCCTACTCTCAATTGGGAATGCGAGTTTGATTTTAAAGGCTCCGGAAATTACGTGTCTTGACCAGCCACTGGTGTGTGTGTGTGTGTGTGTGTAAGGTTTCCCCAGCTGTGATGTCATATTGATGGTATTTTAAGGTGTATTAATTTAGATCGGACTGAATATGAAATCACTGAAGGCCCAGGGGTTAACTCCACCGCCCGCCACTGATTATTAGTGGATATTTTATCAAATATGTAACAGCTTTAATGGTTTCATTTACTGGATTTCTTCCCTTTTTCACCTCACAGATGTTTTTCCTTCTACTCACTTGTCTACTGAGAGGTTTTCATGTCCCATCATGAACTGCAGGTTATCAATGACCACATGGTTGATGTCATACATATAAACTGCATGCTGCATGGTGTCCAGCACTGTCCTGAAAACAAAAAGACAAAACGAACCAATTTGTGACCACTTCTGACAAAAAATAAATAAAACTAATCAAAGAAAAAGACCAATCCAACTTACTTGATGTTCTGCTGCCCGTGGAAAGTCATAAAGTAAAGTGGCAGCTCTTCAAACTTGTCAGCCCAGAAATCGTAGCGCTCCAGGTTCTCCTCCAGCCTCTGCATGGCAAACTGTGTCAACATGATCTTTGCCAGACGCACGTTGTTGATCTCAAAGCTGCCCCACAATGTGTTGACGCCCTGCATGCAAAGATCTAAAGCCAGTTCACTGATGAAGGTGGTTTTCCCGCTTCCAGTGGGACCTGGAAGAGAAACGGAAAGATGGGAGAAACACACAGGAGAAATGATAGATTAGATAAACATGATAATCTCACACTTGATATTTCCCCAGATATTCTTTATCAGCACAGGAAGATAAAATTAATCCTTTAGATGGATGTTAAATCTGTTCTTCTCCACATAAATAGATAAAAAAAGATATGTTAAATAAAATGTTACATTATTTTCTCTCACAAATAAATAATCTTACAGTAATTAAAAAAAATTAAAACTCAATAAGATAATCCAGCTTTTGTAGTATCTTTCTGAGCAGAACGTTTATATACACTCGAATTTTGAATCGATTCCAAATTAAATGTTTGAAATCAATATTCAATTGTCACGAATCAGCTCTATATTATTTCACTACATGAGTACCTGTGAACACTGTAAGCTCTCCCTTCCGGTGTCCCTTCAGAATCCGGTTCAGTTCTGGAAACCTGGTCCACTTCACTCCAGCCACCTGGTCTGTGTTGACCAATTCTCCATACACATCCTCTCTTAGCTGCTTAAAAGAGACAATGGACTTGTGGGCTGCTGGGATGGAGGCTTTCATGATATGGCTCAAGTTGCAGCCACGGGACAAAGCCTCTAATGGACATGGGTGGAACTCCCCGGGTCGCACCAGGGAGCACCTCCTCAGACCTAGCTTGCGCGAAAAGATCTTCGATGCCTCCCAGGAGCGAATGTCACCTCCCAGCCACAGTGTCACTCGCTTGAACTGCTCCAGGTAGGGCAGCAGGACTGGAGGAAGGCAGCTAACCCCACGAGGTAGAGCCACACTGGGGACCCCTGTGGCTTGGGTCACAGCCAAAGTGTCCAACTCACAGCCGGTCACCACCACCTCTGAATCTGAACAGCTCACAAGGGCGAGACCAAACAAGTTGTAGTAGGAGCTACACTTTGGGACGGTGGCTTCATTATAAATTACTTTATCTGTGTCGGTCATTTGGGCGGAGAGGAGTTTGATTCCCTTTAAGGAGGAGTCAGGGCCACCAAACCAGGGCAATACCAGACTCTTGGTGGGCTTGAAGAGTCTCACACCAAACTTCTTTATGGTTGCATTAGAGATCTTTGTCATCTGGAAAAAAGAAAGCCAAGTTAAAACATCCAATTTGTTGGGTTGTTTAAAGGTTAGACAGATGCATCAGGACAGTTTCATAAATGAGAAAATAACAAAAGCAAACTATACCTGGAACATGGCTTTAACAAGCTGAGCCTCGTCTTCTGGTAGATCTGTAAAGGGCACAGAGCTGGACCAGATTGCCTGCACCTCCTTCAGTTCCCTCCCCCTTTCCTCTTGCTCCTCTATGCTCTCTGAATACCCCAGCAGCACATTAGGCCTGAGGAACTCCTGCTCGTCCTTCTGCATCACCTCCAGACAGTCCTGGAGGTCCTCCCAGCTCCCCTCCACCAGCGTGTCTTTGCATAGAAACCGCCCCGTGGTTTTGTCGATGAACAAAGAAAAGTTGTTCTTCCTGGTGGAGGGATTGATGAAAATGCTAGCAATATGGAGGCAGCTGTAGCCATCGTGGAAGGGAATATCCTTAGAACGTAAATACTGTTTAATTTCTGTGACTGTGATGGGGTTCAGAGGGATATCTAGAGTGGATTGAGTGTCTTTTTTATAGTTCCTGATCACCCTGTGTGAGAGATAAAAGTCTGGACTTTGTGGTCTTAGGATGGATGATAGCTCAGGAGGCCTGCTTAGGACCCCTTGAGATAAAAATCGCAAACACTGGGATGGAAAATGTCTTATATGGAGAAATTTGGAGGCTCCCACCTGTAGGAGACAGGCGGTGCCCTTCAGGGAGATGCCTCTCCACATTGACTACGTGCTTTGTACATTTAACCTGCAAAAGACAAGAAACATAATTTACTTGAAGTAAAGTTGAAGAACACACTTTTAGATTTCGCTAGCAGATCCGGGGCACGCTTCTTTTATTTGTAACCTATTATCATGCTCTGAATCTGGATTTAGACTAACCTTCCCCTCACCTGCAAAAAGATGTGGTGACAAACACTACAAGTTATGGGACAGCAAATGCCTGTTTTTCACTTGAATTAGTCGCAGTTGATGAACAAAGATGATCGTGTTGAAAGATTGAAGCATTCGCTTTAAATATCTACACAGTATATTAAAATTATAAACATATAAAGTCGCTTTACCTGCTACAACGTCCGACCTCATTTTCTTCCATGCTCTAACGCAACCCGGGCTTTTTGGTGCGCTTTCAAAACTAGTCGGTAGGAAACATAAACCAACGGGTTTTCACTGTTTAAAGATGTATTTAAAAATACGAAAAATAGAAAACTGAAACAAACATCTTTATTTTAAGATCAATATGTATTAATGGTAACATTGTGTTTTTATTGCGTTTATTACATTTTTTAAATCAAAAGTTTATTTCACCGTTTCATACCGGACCCTATTAATGACGGACCTCACTGTGTACATGGTTGCTAGCCAGGTCGTCCTCTAGTGGTTTGGAAACCAGTAACTGGCGTTAACTAGTTTCTTACTAAGTAGCAGTGAGTAGTAAATCGTTTTTAGTAGTAAAACGGTTGGTCTGCAGGTGAACGATGACCTCTAGAGGGACGCCGAGTCGCTTCTTGAGAAGTGTTCTTCAGAACGGCGTTGGTCGGTACGTTTGTCAGCTGAAACGAGTCTCCATCGTGTTCTCCAAGAAAGGACAGAGCTCTCTGGGAATGAGGTAGTGTAGATCATGTCTGAATGACCTTTTCACAACACCCAGCTGTTAATATTACGTACAGAATTTCACATTTATATTGATTGTTGAAACCCAGCTGTGTGCTTTTTCTTCAGGGATTTCATTGAAGAGGGGGTGGTGGATTTTGCCAAAAACAACCCGGGTATTGTTGTTTATGTGTCTCCTCAGCCCTGCAACGTCCCCAAAATAGTTGCAGAATACTGTGAGTGTCTATTGCGTTGTCAAAAATCTGACTAAGTACTGAATTTAGTTTTCCACAAAGCTCTGTCTAACTGTTGCTGTAGTTATTTTATTAAATGTGAGCAAAAACTACCCGTATATTATATACAGTCTATGAAAATGAGTAAGATTCTTGTTTGTTTTTTTATCTCAAAAACAAAACTTGAGAATGATTGAAGTCTGGTATTTTGAAAGTTTTGAAAGGGCGTTTGTGCTGAAACTAACAAGAAGATTGTTATAACAGTTTCATTTATTTATTCCGATTATTGTTTTTATAATAAAGAGTTACAAAACATAAATATCCCATTGGAGCTGCTTAGATGTGCATTAAAACACAAGCGCTGCAGTACCTACAGTTATTTTTGGATTTGGAAACAATCTTTTTGAACCCTTTCCTAGAACACATTCTACCAATATTATTCAATTGTTATGTTCCTAGTTTACAGCTCTGGCTCCTTTCTGCTTTCTCCCTTAGTTCATACTGTCTCGTTCACATAACAACAAAAACTTGTATGGGACAAACTAGAGGAATAATTGATTTAAGTAGAGATGGACCAATAAAACTGGCCCAAAAGAAACTGAATAATCGGGTCTTTTTGTTGCCTGTTCAGTTCATTAACTCACCGTTATGAAGAAGTAATTGAAAAAGATTCTAATACCACGCTCTCCTGTGTACTTGTCACCACTGAGTTTCAGTTCATTTTAGTTTTTTGAGATTTTGAGAGAATATAATAATGAAGTCCATTTATGACTATTGTTTTGGCTTTTATATCAGTTTTTGTGAAAAAGTGGTATCATGAATTATTTTTCAGTTTTCTATGATTTCTAAAAAACATCAATCTGTTTTTTTTTTTTTTTTTTAATACTTAGGACGTTTCCAATCAAAAATGGCAGCACAATAAATTTACCGTAGGGGGCAGTATAGAACTACTATTTTACCTGAAAATTTTCAAACACAATTGGGAGTTTTACTTGTAGTGAAACTCTTTCTGGGTCTCATGTCCATATTTGTCCCCTCCAGTCTCCCTCCTGCTGAGTCATTTGTCATCTTTTCTGTCCTTGCAGTGAGTGGCAACACGAAGACGGAGCCTGTCGCTAACAAAACATCTCAGCAGATTTTAGAGGTTCTAACTAAGCTGACCAATCAGTCGGGCTTGGACATTGTCCGTCTTCGGAAGCCCTTCCACACAGACAGTCCGAGCATCCAGGGCCAGTGGCACCCATTCACAAACCGCCCCCCGTCCATCGGGCCCATCAGACCACAGAGTGCAGAATAAGGACTCTCTGGAATTAAAGATCTAAATATTTAGATGGTTTCAACAATGTTTCGGTTTATATTGTGACTAACATCTACTATTTTGATCATGTACAACTTTTTGTTTGTTTGCATCAGTTGCAGAAGCATGAATACATCTTTTAAATTCTCCAGTGACTCATCAGTTGGTAACTTTATGATTTCAAGGTTATTTTAAGTTTTTATTAAATTAAATAAACAAATAAAATTCATTGTGTTTGTATAATTTAGATGTTCTCTCCCCATCCTCATTTTTTATGCTGATTAATCTTCTCCTAAAAGATTTCTAGACTTTTACGTGAAACATTCTTTTTCATCCATCCATTATCATCTGCTTATCTGGAGTCAGGTCATGGGGGCAGCAGCCTAAGTCAAGAGGTCCAGACTTCCCTCTTCCCAGCCACTTGGGCCAGCTCTTTTGGGGGAATTACAAGGTTTTCCCTGGCCAGCTGAGAGACATAGTCCCTCCAACGTATCCTGGGTCTTCCCTTGGGTCTCCTCCAAGAAAACCTCACCAGGGAAGCGTCCAGGAGACATCCTAACTAGATGCCAAAGTCAACTGGCTCCTCTTGATGTGGAGGAGCAGCAGATCTACTCCGAGCTCCTCCTGGATGACCGAGCTCACCCTATCTCTAAGGGAGAGCCCAGACACCCAGACAGAAAACTCATTTCAGCAGCTTGTATTTGCAATCTTGTTGTTTTGGCCACTACCTAAAGCTCTTGACCTTAGGTTAGTGTATGTTTATGTTTATTCACTTAGCAGACACTTTTATCCAAAGCGACATACAATTTATAATTTATAAGGCATGTTGTGAACTGTGGGGGAAGCCGGAGGAAACCCACATGCATGGGGAGAACACACAACTCCACGCAGAAAGGCTGCAGCCGAGTTTCGAACCTGCGATCTTCGTGCTGCGAAGCAACAGTGCTAACCACCATGCAGCCCAAGTGTAGGAACGTAGATCAACCAGTAAAGCAAGCACTTTGCCATCCGGCTCAGTTCTCTCTTCACCATGCCAGACTGGTAAAAAGCCAGCATCACTGCAGACACAGCACCAATCCGCCTGTCTATCTCCTGCTTCATTTTTTCCCTCACTTGTGAATAAAACCCTGAGATACTTCTCCACTTGAGGTAGGACCTTGTCCCCTGACCTGGAGAAGGCATTCTGCCCTTTTCTGACTCAAGATAATGGTCTCAGATTTTAGAGGAGCTGATTCTCATCCCAGCTGCTTCACACTTGACTGTGAACCACTCCAGCTAGAGCCGTAGATCATGTTCTGATGAAGTCAACAGGACCACATAATCTGCAAAAAGCAGAGACCTGATCCTCAGGCCACCAAAACAGATCCCCAACACCTTGGCTTGACCTAGAAATCCTGTCCATAAAAGTTATAAACAGAAAAATCATTCTGTCTCTTCTCCCTTAAATGTATACTTTTTTTTTTTATCTCGAACTCCAATAAGGTTTGAAGGTGACCTAAATGCACGTTTAAATGACCTGGAGCTTAAGTGAAAACATGACAGATGGTTGTGTGGTCATATGAAGGCTGACACATTTTACCTTCGGAAAGCTGTCCTCAGCAACAGAAAGAGGCAAACTGTGTTCCAGCTCAAATTTGTTAAAATTTAGAGGCTGCACAGAGCACACTTGTGTTTAAATGTGCATACAAAACCATTTGACCTGACTGCTACTTTGACTGCACATCTGACCCCGAATTCATCATTTTTGTTTCTAAATGACCTCAGTGATGCTTTCCAAGAAAACATGAGAAAAGTCAGGAATACCAGTAGATGGAGGGAGAATGAGGTCTGACTGGTACCAGTCTGATACTGGCAACAGGAGCTTATTAAGATGTTCAAATATGACAATTTATGCAGAACAGAGGAGGGATGGCAATGAAAACCTCCCTGGATGCAGATCCACTTTCTCCTACATATGCAATACTCTGTATGTGTTCAATACTTGTGCAATAATGGATTTACTTAGTTTGTCATCCCTTACTGTATGCTGCTTAATTCTAGAGCCCAAGGTTTTCATTTTTATTTGTTGTTTTTAGAGGTCAAAGGTTACAATAGTAGCTTACTGCCTATGTGTATATACATGCATGTTTCTTAATATTTTAATTCAAATTATTCTATAGGTGTTTGAGCTGCTGTAACAAGTGAGTTTCCCCGCTGTGGGATCAAAGTCTATTCTACTCTATGCTTTGCATCATTAGATGTGTGTAAAAATCAGACTCTTCATCCAGAAACGGAGCTATAAACGCTTAGCTGATTTTCTTCAAAAATATCAACTGACTTGGGGATAGATGAGGTGAAAATTCCTTTGATTCATTTTCACCGCCAGCAGTTTCATTTAACTGTGGCACCAATTAAAGATATCACATCCGCTGTTCTCCCAGAGGCAAGCTGGCACAGCTTGACCCATGCAAGGACATTAAAAGATCTAAATAAAGTTGCTGTTGCTAAGTTACCAACATGAATATCGCTCTGAAAATGGTAATCATGTCCCACTTCCTTCACGAGCTTATGTTTTACCTCTGCTCTGACACACACATGTGATTCTGAGGGGGATCCGTTCCCTCTGGAGGACAGTGTCGCCACGAGCTGAAAGCAAACCAGCGTCAAGCTGTCTTGAGGATTTGGTCTGTCTGAACATGTCTTGCATGTTCTTTCATGATCTCCCCTCCAGGCTGCTGACACTGACTTCTGTCTTATTTAATACTGAAGATATTAAAAGCAGTTTTTTTTTCCATATAACTTCACAAACATTCAGCGGACGTTCAATGAGCTGGGTCAAAATAAAAAAAATAATTTCTGTCAACAATAAAAATGTTTGATCAATTTTACAGGAAGAAGGAGCATCACATTCAGTCTCAGGAGGTACAGACAAATCTAACTCAACACAAGGACGAACAGTCTCACAGTTTAAAGGAAATATTATTATTACTTTTAACATACACGTTAAATAAAGGATGCAAACTGTAAAAGATACTTTCTCTGGCAAACATATATGAAATGTGTATTTTTACACAATAAATACTTAAATTACCGGAAGAAAATAGGTTTGATGAAGCCAGAAAAACACACATTATGTTGTAGCTTTGTGAACAGTTACTATTTCACCATAGTTCATAGTTAATTGTACAGCAACTATTGTTAAAAAAAAAGAGAGAAATATTCCCGGATGTTCAAAACATGCACAACCTTTTAAAAACAGGGAAGTGATTGTAGGAACCTATTTTGTATGCAACACAAGAATAAATGCTGTTTCCCGTAGAACCAAGAGAAGCTGGAATTGTTTTTAATTCTTGCAAAATGCAACATCTTTACAGCTTTTATTCAAATAAAATTGTTATAGCATTGCTTTACATAAGCAAGAAATATAAAAATACCCTTTACTACTTACTACATGTCAGGATTCTCACTAACCTCCAGTTTCTGCCTTTATGAAAGCACAAACTTGAAGGATCTTAGAAATCTGTCTCTAATTGATTAGCTGTCATTCGACAGGGTCCTTGAGCTAGTGTGTGAAAGTGAATGGAGGGGCTAATGGATAAAACTTTTATGTAGAGGTAATGAGACGGGGAAGGTAAAGAGGCTGCAGAGCTGAAGGGAGAGGAGAATAAAAAAGGACAAAAAGCTGATTAAAAGCTGGACGGCAGCTTTGGCAACGAGTTCACTTGAATTTTGTTGTGAGATACTGATGCATTCGCTTGTTTCATTTTTTATCTAGTTGTTTTATTTTTTTCTTGCAGCAGGAAGAATGTCGACACAGTCTAGATGAAATTCAAGTCATCTTTTTGAATGTTATGTCAGTATAAGAGAGCTTTATGCAGAATGTCTGTCTTCTGAGCTTTTCTATTAACTTGAGGTGTTCCTTCATCGTAATATGACAGCAGCTGACAAGTGTAATGATAAAAAGTCTACTTTTGTTTCTTTGTCCTGACAATCAGCAGCACAGTCTCCACACAGCACATCAGCAACTTTCTGATAATAAATAGATTCTTGCAAGCTAGAAGGTTGTGTGATAAAAGCTGCAAAAGATCTTGAAAAGCCATTAAATTCCTCTGAAAGAGCTACACACCAGGTTGCTAAGGTGACAAATCAAATTCCCTTTGATTGCAAAAGGACCTTCATTTTCCAAACTCTGGAGTAGCAGCACATTCTTCTGTGCAGCTGCAGCCATCATTGATACATATCTGGGTTAAACTTTCCACAGATGTCAGCTTTTTACAAAAATACATTTAAAATTTGCAACAAATCTGATGTATTTTAGGAAGGAGTTACAGATGTTTAGGTTCATTTATATAAAACAATGCCTGAAATGACAGAAGCTTGTCTTTTACTACATCATTTACACACCTCACTGTTAAAACTAGCTGAATGCATCAACATATGCATTTAAATCCAAATACATCTGGGGAGAACACAAACTGTTCACAAACTTTTGAAGCTCTAAGCTTGTTGCAAAATAAACAAATGAATATATTCAAGAGGTTTTGTCAAATAGAATGAATACAAACTTCAGAATACATTTTAAAGAAGCAATACATGCAGGACATCCAGACATTTCACAGAACAAACTATTTGGCCAAAAGCCTGAGCAGAAACCTAAGAATCCCACTGGTATGTACCATAGACGTATTGCAAAGAAACGATTTTAAACATGTCTACAGTCATAAAGTATCTTGTGAAACTGGTCTGTAAAATATGGCAGTATAGACCCAGCACTCTGAAAGCTATGGTGGCCTCTTTAAGGTTTTTTTCTATGTAAAAGTTATAAATAATCACCATCTTAGCGGTTGTAGGCAGGCTTTCTGAACAGCTTCTGTTTGGAGAAAGAGAGTTTAGAACTTTTCTGAGGACAGCCAAGACCAAAGTTTGTCGTTGCCACCTAAAAAAGCTCTATTCTCCAAAACTTTAAAGGGGATATAAAATGACTTTCTTCTTAGGTTATAATGGTTCTATTTAATATAAAAACATGTTTATAACATTCTTTGCACTAAATTCTTCCCACATGAAGGGATCTCAGCAGTTTTGTCCTGACAGAGAACCTTCACCAGCATTTTGTCCTTGACATTTTCAGTACCTTCCCGAATGATTATTTTCAGGGCTCTGTCACTTAAAAAAAACAACTAACTGGAGCTGGTCACGCCCACCCTTTAGGCTGCTATAAGCTGAGAAGCTCACATACAGTGTGACGCAAAAGTTTGGGCAGCCTTGTTAATCTTCATGGTTTTCCTGTTGCTTGTTATAAAACATTTCAGTGAAATATATCAGACACACTCACACACACACACACACACACACACACACACACACACACACACACTCAGTGGTATTTGAGAAGTGAAACATTTATAGAATTTACAGAAAATGTGAAAAAATTGTTTGAGCAAAATTAGGCAGGAGCATAAATTTGGACATATTATTGATTCCAAAACCTTTACAAATAATTATTGGAAAATACACTTGGTTTGGTGAGCTCAGTGACCTTTGACCTCCATTCATGGGTGAATCCAATTATGAGAAAAAGTATTTAAGGGGCCAATTGTAAGTGTCCCTCCTCTTTGAATATTCTCTGAAGAGCAGCAACATGGGGTCTCAGAACAACTCTCACATGAGCTGAAAACAAAGATTGTTCACCATCATGACCTACGGAAAGGACACAGAAAGCTGTCTCAGAGATTTCAGCTGTCTGTTTCCACAGTCAGGAACATATTGAGGAAATGTAAGACCACAGGCTCAGTTCAAGTTAAGAATCAAAGTGGCAGAACAAGAAAACTTTCACATGAATAGAAGTGAAGATTGGTGAGAACAGTCAGAGTCAACCCATAGACCAGCACCAAAGACCTACAACATCATCTTGCTGCAGATGGAGTCACTCTGCATCTTTCAACTACTTGACGCACTTTACAAAAGGAGATGCTGCATGTGAGAGAGATGCAGAAGAAGCTTTTTCTCCACCCACAGCACAAACAGAACTGCTTGAGGTCTGCTAAAGCAGATTTGGACAAGCCAGCTTCATGTTAGAATAAGGTGCAGTGGACTGATGAAACTAAAACTGAGTTGTTTGGGCTTAACAAGGAACTTTATGCATGGAGGAAAAAGAACACAACATTCCAAGAAAAACAACCGCCTACAGTAAAACATGGTGGTGGTTCCATCATGCTGTGGGGCTGTGTTGGGAATCTTGTTAAAGTTGAGGGACGCATCACTCAATGTCAGCGGATTTTGGAGACCAATGTCCAGAAATCAGTGACAAAGCTGAAGCTGCACTGGAGCTGGATCTTTCAACAAGACAACAAGCCTGAGTATTATTGAAAATCTGTGGTGTCAGTTAAAGAGAGCTGTCCGTGCTCAGAAGCCTCAATGATCTAGATGTTTTGTAAAGAATGGTCCAGAATACCATCAACCAAAATCCAGACACTCACTGTAAACTAGTTTTGCATACTTTGTTCCCTTTAAAGTTGTTTATGCAGCATTCCTTAATACATTTTGTAATTCTGTTATTTTCAAGCATAAATAGGCTATCGCCAGCAGTAGCAACATGGAGCCGTTCTGGTGTATCCAGGGGTCAAGTCCAGCTTGAATTACAGATGCTTCTGCCAAAATAACCAAACAATAACAAGCTGGCAGCTGTGTACAGGTTTTCAGACATGAATCAGTTTTTATCACCACAATGTGTGATTAGCTGATCAGGAATCTGCTCTAGTCTTTAGATTGCAAAATGTATTCCTTCAAACGGAGGCTGGTCAGAAAGCCGTCTATAACAGACATAATAAACACTTAGCTGAAAATAATTCCAAGTGTGAAGAAACACAAATATGCAAAATTAAAGTATAAAACAAGAGAACATCACAGTTAGAGATCATAAACTAAATAAACCCCAAAATTGTAAAAACATAAACAATTAAATGTGCTTTGAATTAAGATGTTAGCCGGAACACCTGTCAGGTGTTTACAGGCTGCTGCTGCTGCTTCTTCCTGCTGAGATGACAGCAGCTAATGCAAAAATAGACAAAAAGGTTTGTGTCCTGTCCTCACGGAGGTGAGCCAAACAGTGTCGTTACTGTCAGTGATGCTCTGACAGATGCAGGCTGCAGGTCATCACAACGAAGCTGCTGCTGATTCAACACTTTACTGAGAAGCAGATCTTTATTCACAGCTGTCTGTGACACATTTACAAACTGCTCCAAGATTCATTTCAGTCCCTTCCATGTGCGCTGCTTAATCATAGCGCAGTTCATCTTGTCAGGGGGATACTGTAAGCGCTGCAGTTCTTGTTTTGGCGATGCACTGACTTGATGTCAGGTAAACACAAAGAATGGTTTTATGGCTTGCAGGTGTGAAGGTCTGTGATCTGTCGCCTGACTTGAGTCACGCCTATCCCTCTGAGATGGATTTACAGCTAAAACGATCATTTTGGAGTTTGAAACGGCAAGTAAATACGTGAAATAAATACTTATCTCCAAAGAAAATATAAATAGCTAACTTAAGCATCTACTTAAAGGCATTCTCTCTGTCTTTAGTTTCATATGTTCCTGTTTGTATCATTCAGATAAACCAGTCAAATGTTTCATGGATCTCTTTTCTGACACAGATGCTGAAACAGAAAGACGGATATTAGGCCTGCAGCAGGTGCTTCCACTGACACAACACATTAACTGCTGCAACAGTGATGCAATTATTTCTAATTACATGAGATAAATGACTGAAAAGTGGTTTAGAAAATTTGCTCAAAAATGTTTCTCTTGTGCTTTTCAGCAAAACAACGTCCCAGTCAAAAATGTTCCGTTTTACAAGGGTCATAAAAGGGTGACTTATGGAGAAGTCACAAGTCAGAAAAAGCCGTCTACCATGTCAGATTGTCAAAAGTGAGAAGTGGTCATGGTTTGATTCTGAAGAAGAAAACATTTATCGTGAGGAATGGTAAAAATATCAGAAAAATCTTCCCTCCAGCAAAGTTTTTAGGCATTTACCCTCCAGTTCATCTCAGGTATTTTCTTGAGAAACATTCATTTGAAAATGTCTGTTACGTTCGCAACTCCTCATAAAATCCATCTCTACAAAATCAAATACTTTCATGGGCATGAATTATTGCAGATTGTCTTTCAGAGCTAAAATTTATTATTTTTATGGCTGATTCACTTGACTGGCTCATCTTCTCTGAATTGAAACATTCTTGAGTTTTATCCATTTTATGAGCTCCTGGATGCGATCTAGAACCATCTTTTACCACATGGTGGTGGTGTGATGGTCTGAGGCTGTTTTTGTTGCTTCAGGACCTGGAACTGATGAAATCGCAAATTCTTCCCCCCCAGAAAGACAACATCTGCCCTTTGACCTTTAACATGCTGTTCATGCCGGAAAGCCCTGAGTGATGTAACAGACCCATTAGCAGTTAGTAACAAATGTTGGATTACGGCTGTTGCTTCCAGTTAAGTTTAGGGATCAATTACATTTTTACATATAGCCAGGTGAGTGTGAATAAATTCAAACTAAATTAAATCAAACATCCATCCATGTATCCATTTTCTTCCACTTATCTGGGATCGGGTCACAGAGACAGCAGCCCAAGCAAGGAGGCCCAGATTTCCCCAGCCTCTCGGGCCAGCTCATCCACAGTCTTCCCAGGACAGCCGAGAAACATAGTCCCTCCAACGTGCCCTGGGTCTTCCTTTGGGTCTAGACCTGGGTGAACGTGACTAGAAAACCTCACCAGGGAAACGTCCAGGAGACATCCTAACTAGATGCCAGAGCCACCTCAAATGGCCATTTGAGACAAAATAAGGTCTTCATCCCAGCCGCTTCACAGTCAATGCGAACTGTTCTAGCAAAAGCGACATTAAATAATTAAAAAATTGCATTTTGTATTTACTCAGTTCATCTTTTTCAGATACTCAATATAATTTGATGAGCTGAAACGTTTAAAGGGGCAGTATGTAAAACTATAGTGACAATTTTACAGTGACAAAATCCCAAAAGAGTCTAATGTTTCAGTCATTTTGGAAGGAAGGTTATACTGAAATATATTTCATATGCAGCTAATGCTGGGATTGTCAGCTTTTATCTTTTCCGAACAAAAGAAGGAGGGACGTAACTGCTGTTTACCATCAGTGAGTGTGGGGTCGCCGTGTTGCCTGTGAGCTAATACTGCAGCGCCGAACATTGTAATTTGACGACGACCGGCAAAAAGCTCCAGAGCTGTTTAAAATGGTTGCAGTAACCAAATTTTACCACAGCATGTAATTTTTACGTCTTTTCTACATAATGCACCTTGAAGTCAAGGCATGGGTGGAGACACAAGAGCAGACGTAGATTCTGCAGCATTCTGGAGGATTTCCTGTTAACCGTGATCATTAGATGAAAAGGGGAGGAGGGCATTTTTTTCAAGGAGGCAAGCGGCTCCGAGTGCCAACGTGTCATATCGGCAGGTGAGTGGTTGAGCCAGCTCGAGGTGCAGCTGCCTCACCTGGAGACCAGTGCAACGTCATGTTTTTCAGCTTAGCCATCAGCCACAGCTGATTCTAATTAAATGTGGAGCAGAGATTTTAACCTGAAGATGGAGATATAATTAGGGTTTTTGGGCTGAAAAATTAAATCTAAAGTAAGTTGCTCTAAACTGCCACACTAATGATTACACAGCACCATTAGACACTCGTCTATATAGGTTATCAGCAAAAAAAATTTAATTTAGGTGTTACTTGCTCTTTAAGTGTGACAAAACATTGTTTTAGAAATCTGTAAGGGACAAATAAGAGAGACTGTAAAAAGTTTAAAAAAAAGTCTCAGAATTTAAAATAGTATTCGATGCAATTTAACAACATCAAGTGATAAAGGTGTTGTTTTTAAGTGAAGTTATCACAAGAAAATCCATAGAATTGAGTGAGACAGTTATATGAATTAGCAAACAAAAGACTTTAAAGAAAAATGTTCACTGCTCCCTTTTCAGGTAAAATAATACTAAGTAGAATTTTTCATTTTGGCACAAGGAATGAGAAACTAAGCATCACGGCAGTTTGTTGACTTTCTGTTTTGCACTTTGGAAAAAATTTAACACTAAAATCATTACTAAGCATCATAGAAATGTCTAGTGATCATTTCTGTAGAGTCAATGAGCACTCTTTAGAGGAAGAAAGTGTCATAATAAACAAGTTCTGGTTCTCAAATAGCAGGTATATAAATATTTTCACAAGGTACATGTCTGGATGAGTATCGCTACACAAAGATCAAACTTCACAGGTTGCTAAAAACTCTAAAAGTTTCCAATTTTCCACCTGTATGTGCGTCAGACTTTGTTTAAAGTTTCCTCTGAGGTTGCGTCATAACGCTCCTAAGTGCTATCCGTTAGTACAGTTGCAAACTTTTCCCAGCTCCACATTTTGGACCTCAGTCTCTGGTTAGTTTTGTCCATCATTACAGTGAATTTATGAGCAACTAAACTGTGGTGAGATCCAGAAGGCTGTGGATTTCAGATGAAGTTGGGACTTGATCTGCAGGAACACTGACACTGGGTCATTTCAATTCTTCCAACAACTTCGGATCACCATCAGGTTGTGAGACAGAGACTGAGAGGGACATCCTAGATGGAGCTCTCATCAGGCTGCAGGTCCAGCTGTGTGTGTTTCCTCTGCTCCAGGATCCTGTTGAGCTCCTCTGTGAATGAGTGGTAGAGCGGCGACATGCCCTCAGGGTCGGCCTGCCTCAACAGCACATAGCTGTTCCCGTTCATCTTCCTCAGAACACTGGGCAGAGTGGCAGAAAGCCCGTTGGCGTAGTCCATGTCTGGAAGTGGAGGTGGATTAGGAAGAGGAGGAGCTGGGGGAGGTGTTTTGGCTGGAGACATGTCATCCTCGCAGGGAACAATCTGGAGGAAGCTATCACTAAACATCGGCACTGAGATGGACCTGCGGCCCTGACGGCCATTATAGTGGCTGGAGATCGTTTTAAGTTCCAGATGGGAGCTTCGTTTTCTGTCAGAGGACCCCAGGACATGCAGACCCTGGTGGGAAAACTTCCGGCTCTGAGTGGTCCGCCTGGTGCAGAAGCTCACATAAAGCAGCACTACAGTCAAGACCAAGCAAAGCCCTCCGAGAACTGCCACTAGCGAGATGTAGACAGCCTCCATATGTCTGTATATCTGGAACTCAGCTCCTGGAGGCAGCGGGGCAGGAGGTGAAGGTAATGGCTGCTCTGTGGGGCTCACAGTGGTGAAAACAGTTGGACTGGAGACCGTGGATGGATCAGTTGTGTCTGTGGGCTCCACAGGGAAGAATGGATCTGTGTGAACCCTTACTGTGTAGAGATAAATCAGAACAGAGACGCCGTTCTCCACAGCAAAACAGCGATATGATCCGCTTTGTTGGGGGCGAGCGCCAATCATAAGGAGGCCATCCGTGCCGATGCGGTAGCCTGAATTTAACCCATATCCCTGAAGCTCCTTGCCATTTAGAGTCCAGCGTGGAGTCGCCAGATTTGAGCGTAGTTCACACTGGAGCAGCACATCATCACCCGACATAACAGAGCGCCTCCGATGTACCACTAAGCAAATCAAGAAACCAGAGTCAGTTAAACCCAAGACAAGTGATAGAGAATTTGCCAGGACAAGGAAGTGGATATTGAACAAGATGTCAGGTCACAGGGGTTTTGTTTTATATGTGTGGGTGAGCAATGTGTGCGGCTGCAGCATCACTTTCTATCACATCTCATAAGCCTCTTTAAAAGTAGCGAGCCCTGCAGTGCATCAGCAGGACCGCCTGACCTCCTGCAAGAAACGAGCTGATTAAAATGTATACGCTGGGACCTAAGGGTGGGGGTGGGGGACACACACTTCTAATGAAATCCTTTAAGAAATCCTGATGCTTTATTTTTGAGACAGAGAAAGAACAGTGTGCTTTAAAGTTGTGCTTCAACCCTTTAATCTGACAGTTAGAGATTCATGAAAACTCATCAAAATAAGATGGAAGGTTAAATAAAGTATTAAACTTCTTTAAAAAATAGAAAAGAGATAGTGTTGAATAATGGATTCACAATTACTCTCTCTTCGTCTGTGTGTGTGTGTGTGTGTGTGTGTGTGTGTGTGTGTGTGTGTGTGTGTGTGTGTGTGTGTGTGTGTGTGTGTGCGCGTGTGTGTGTGTGTGTGTGTGTGTGTGTGTGTGTGTGTGTGTGCGTGCGTGTGTGTGTGTGCGTGCGTGCGTGTGTGTGTGTGTGTGTGCTAGAAGACGTACCATTTCCTGAATTCTCCTTACAGCCTCTGGTTCCTTTATTGATGTCCTGAGTCAAATTTGACCTGAAACAATGATTTTTGAAAAATATACATATATTATAAGATGAAACAGTGAGTTAAAGACAGGATTTAAACTAAAAATGTGTGTATATGATTTAAAGATGTAAACCAAGCTAATGGCTATTTTAAGCGAGACACACACCAGCATCTTAGCGTTGTCGGCAAATGGCCAACAATTCACAAGGGATTCATTTCTTTGCATATGTTGTAGTTTTTCATTCTCATGCTGCAGGAATTGTCAACAAGTTTGAAAACTTTGCCAGACATTTTGGTCTCCCTGTTCTGGGCGAGGTCTCCTCTGTCCAGGTTGAGACTAGTAGTATGGAGAGTGGAAGCTGCAATGGTACAGCTAACCAAACTAAGGAGAAGGTGCAGCCAAACCTTACATCCCTGACTGAACATCCAAAGTTTCAACAGGATTTTTACATTCTGCTGCCGAAAGGACTGCAGTAACTTGGCAGCAACGTCACTAAACAAATATCTACTAGTGGCGACGTCCCTTCAGAATCTGGAAAAATTTACGTCTGGAACTAAGTACGTCACTTCATAGTTTCTGCAATACACAAGTCTGTAAATTACGTGGTCATCACTATAATGGTTGGTCTCTATGCATCGCTAACGCTTAAGATTTTAACTTTCATTTAATCATTTAATCAATCAATCAGCTTTTATTTGTATAGCGCTTTCCCTCATCTTCAAGGGGGGCCCAAAGCGTTGAACACAGCAGAAATAGAACATAGAAAAGAAAACACCAAGATCAAAAAGAAAAAAATCGATAATTGCAAACAAAAATAAAAAACTATTAAAATCCATTAAAACCAGTCACCGAACAGATTAGGTGAAAGCCAGGTGATAAAATGTTAAGAGGTAACTTGTTCCAAAGGGACGGTGCTAAAACAGAAAATGCCCTATCCCCACATGTCCTGGGCCTGGAGTGAAGAACAGTCAGCAGAAGCTGATCTGCCGAGCGCAATGGCCTTGATGGTACATGTCTTTTTAACAAATTCCCAAGGTATGGAGGGGCACTGCCCTGACAAAACTGATGGACAAACAAACTACGCCCAATAGGAGAACGGAAGCCAATGGAGCGTTGCCAGCACAGGACTAATATGGTCCCATTTCTTGGACCCCTCAGAAACCTGGCTGCACTGTTCTACACCAGCTGCAGATGTCGAAGAGCAGTCGGACCCAACCCAGCATACAGAGAGCTGCAGTAATCCAGCCTTGATATCACCAAGGCATGGAGTACTTGTTCCAAGTGGGTCCTTGACAGCAACGGCTTAATTTTAGCTAGGCAATGCAAAGGAGCGTGCCACCACGTTGATATGGGCATCATATCATATTTAATAAAAATAAAAAAAAAGACATAAATGTCTGTTAGCATCTTTCTCCTCCTGCAGCTAACCAGGCATTGTAATTTTAAATCTATAAGGTAATTCATTTATTTGTTAGTTTTAAATTTATTTGTCACAGTTTTGTTTGTCTCCGTAATAAAAGAAAGTCATTCTCATGGGTTTGTTTCCTCCGTTTGGACAATTTGTAACATCAAAATCACGAAGCATATTATTTTAATGAACACTTCACTGACTGCAAAGTAATTCACAACATAAGTCATGAACATTAGAGTGATGGCGGGCTTCTTAAACGTTAACGTCAGAAGTGGGTCTCCTTTGGCTGGTAGTCAGTGGCAGCTTCTACTCACCATACCAGTTAATCTTTGTATCTTGTTCAATGGTGATGATAGAAAGGAGCAAGTGATGTACCAACAGATTGGTGCTTCCTCTGCAGTTGTTAAGTAAAAGGCAGTTTACTGATTCACTGGTCTGCCATAAAACCCTTCCCCAGTGGGAGCATTAGGAACCAGATTCTGGATACAAACTGCTTAAATTAACTTCTTCTGTGGGGTGGCTAGGCTCAGCCTTAGCGCCCAGTAGGGTTAGGAGCTCTGTCCTCTGGGGATCCCAAAGCTGCTGGAGTCAGCTAAAGGGGTTCAGGCGTCTGATTTGGATGCTTCCTGGTTGACCCCTCTGGAGATTTTCCAGGCACTGGGAGGATGCTCCAAGACAGACCAGGATTTTATACCATCTATGACCTGAGTATGCCTTGGGATCTCCATGGAAGAGCTTGAGAATTTTATTGGGGAGAAGAATCTCTGGGCTTCACTCTTGAATCTGTTACAGTACCTCCATGACCCAAACCTCAATAAGCTAATGAATGTGAAAGGATGAATGGCAAGATGGACAATAACAGAGTTATATCAAGAATGTGTCTCAAACTCATCACAATACAGTTTTCACGATCAGAAAGTGATAAGTGATAAATGTGGGATGGATCGGAAACTAATTACACTTAATTGCTTCTGATTAAAGAGAAACCCCCATGAAATAATTCAACAAACAAATTCTAACACAATTACAACATTTTGTGACAACATTTCAACAGTAATTTTGCATGTGATTCACATCAATATATGTACAGCTTTGACACACAAAAATCCCTTAAATCCCCATCCAGTGTAAATCCAACCAAACATTTTTGCGTTTTTCTCTCAAGTTAAGTCCCTCAATAATTCTAGGAACAAATTCTTGACACTGACACTTCTTCTCAAAACCAGAAATGAGAGCATGAGTTTTTCTGCAGACAGACACAAGTATTGCAGCACTGGAGCAGATTTTGCAGGCCGAGCAATCCTGAACACTGGGATGCTTTTATTTTAAAACAGGTGGTTAGTAAAAATTTCTCAGCAACACCCAAACTCTCCAGCAATGGAGAACAGGCAGTTGTTCATCCCTCTTAATAAAAGGTTAACTGAGTGATTTGTTTTAGATAACAAAGAGAGTGTTTTGCACTATCATTTGTAAGATTTGTAAGATGAGTCATTAGTACTCAATGGTTCTTGTTGCTTTTTTCAGCAAAAGTCATGACTTGAATAAATCCACAGGAGAGGGCGATGCGTCCGCTGTTGTGATGGAGATTAACATGTCTGCAGCTCGCTCATGCAGAGTGAATAACGAGAGGGAAGCAGAAGAGCGAGTGTAAAATATGTGTGTGCTTGTTTTGGACTGTTCCACCTGTTTGGGCTTGAACACTGGTTGAGATATTCCAGGAAAACAATCAAATCACCTCACAACCTAAAGCCTCACACATAGTGTTGTTTGATTTTAGAAAATGTAGGGTTTTTATTGGGGTAAATTTAACTTTAACTGTTATTTTGTTTGTTTTATGTGGCTTTATTCTACCAAAATCCCAACAGAATTACTGAGCCTTTTCTCTTTGTGACAGCATTTTAAAATCATGCAATAAAATCAGTAATCAGAAAACATATTCCTAAAAATATTAGACATTGTCCCACCATAAACCATCTTAAATTTACCAGATGTTCATGTTTCTAGTGTGACCATTTAAATTTTTTTTACCAAAATAGAAGAAACTGATATTTTGACCGCTTGGGGGCAGCAGTGAGCACAAAAGTTCACCTAATAAAGAGCAGAGAGTGATAAATAACGGTGATATCCACCATGATTAATTCAATATTTAATGCAGTGAACACATGTAAATTAAACAAGCTCCTTAAACACACAAAATACTCTGTAAACAGAGTTTAAGGTTTTAGATCACAAACATAACCAACTTTGACTCATTTAATGATTAAATATGCTCATTAGGATGCTGTCTAATGGCTTCACAAGTTTTGATCAATGGTGGATAATTTTAAATGATTATAATATGGACACACTACATAACCCAAACAAAAAGCAATCACGTTTTACTGATAGAAATAATTACTATAAACACCAACCATACATACATTATTTAAGGATATTAACTAAAAATTGAAAACAGTTCTTATTTTTGCTAATATTGCTTGTGTTGGAAAACACCCAGCTTTGCAAACTTTTCCAGTATTTCTTTGAAAGTGTCTGGAATAGCATTCATTTTGTTCTAAATTTAGGAAAAAAAAATAAAATTTATATGAGAAGAAAATCTGTTTTAACCAAATTCAGATTATCATAAAATTATCTGGAAACAGTACACCAATCAAAAATAGTACATCAAAATAAAAGTCTTGATAGGATTTTATCCAAGCACGTTTCTTTTTGAGGGAATAATTTACCATCCAAACCTTCAAACCCATTTCAGCTGAAACTCCTGCTGAGCTGATGTGGGTTGGTGAGAAAAATCCAGGTCAGCCACATTGTCTCAGACCTGTTTTCACAGAAATTGTGTTGAAGGGGTAGAGATGCAGTATAAATAATTAATTATGCTTTGATATTGATGTTGGACCAGAGGGACGACATAAATACCTGCAAAACAGTTTAAAAGCTGTCAGTTTTTGTTTTTATATATTTCTTGATCCCAATTTGTTAATTTTTTTCAGGTTTTACACATTTGTAAACGGAGGAAAACAAAAAAAAAAACAACTAAAGGGTGTAGGGTTAGACTACAGATGTATTTTGGGTTTTAATTACGATCAATAAGCTGTGATGATTCTATATGAATATAGAGTATCAACCTTATTGATCTTTGAAGGTTTAACCAGAAGAATTAGGATTCTTTGTTTATTCAGGGATCGTAACACACTTCGTATTAATTCAGACAGAGTCAAGTTTATAAAAAGTAAGACATTTATTTTCTAAACAATTAAAAACATGACAACTAGGAATCACTTTATGTGATGGATGAATAAGTGGATGGAATGTGAGGTCTGATGATGTGTGAATGTGATATTATCAGAACCTCTCGTATCTGAAGAACTGAGTTCTGAGTGGGATCGAATTTGGTCGGCATTAAACTAGAAAGTTGATTTCTAATAAAACAACATCAGACACAATCTGTCGTGTCTACGTACCCTTTCGGAGACCCCCGTTGTAGATCCAGAATGTCAGGAGGTCCGTGGACCCCAAAGGTACTGAAGTCCATAGCAGAAACCGCAGCACCACTAGACCGGTCTCGAGATATCTCCAGGTCACAACAGGTAGTTATTTGCATCTATGGAAGGACTC